CTGTCTTAAAAAAAAAAATGAAAGGGCTGGGGATGTTGCTCAGTGGTAAAGTGTCCCTGGGTTAAATCCCCAGTAACAACTAAAAAAAAAAAAAAGGTAAGTAGGCTATTTTTATATAAATGAATCTTTCATTTTAAATAACAATCAGATTTATATACTGAAGGTGATTATCAGAGGAGCTACAGAAGGTCATATCACTAAGAGATGAAGCCCATGAGCACCATGGACAGCTAGCTGTGAGGGAAGATGCTGGCTAGCAGTGCACTTGTTTGTTCCTGGGGGGATGTATCAATCAGGTCATTTTCATTATAGATCCCTAGCAGAGCTAAACTGCAGATACTCCTGCATTGTTAAACATAATTCAGGAAATTAGACCAATGAACAAATTTACACAAGAAACAACTGCCACCTGAATACAATTGAGTAATAAAAACTGAATTTTCCTGACCTATAGATACTATAAAGAAAATGTCTTTAAAGTCATAATTTTACAAATGTACAAATTAAGAATTTGAGAACCTCTCTTCCTTTCACCACCTCTTTGTCTTTCCAGAAGTCCAGGACCCCACCCGACTCCCAAGTCAATGTTCTCACATGACACCTGGATTCCTAAAACCAGGCTGATGAGAATAGACTGGCTCCCTTTTTCACATTTGCAGGTTGGCTGGCTACTGCTGAGTGCCATCTAGAAGTCCTGTCTGCACCATAACCTCCATCCTGCCTGCTGTAGTCTGACCAGCCGCCTTGGTTTCCAACATATTCCCCTAACCCAGAGGCTGGATCCCCAGAACCTTGTAAAGCCAAGGTAAATCCTCTAGGCTGTCTCCTCTGCTCCCTTCCTCCAGGTTCCTAGACTGGTTCTGCTCAAGGGTAAAGGCTCCAAGACCTAAGAAACTGCCTGCTCCACCCTTGGCCATGCTGGCTGAAGGGGCCAGGAAGGACTAGGGCTGGGACCGTTTGTGGGGTTTTACACCCTGCCTTAGAAGAAGCTAGAAGGTGAGTCCTACGAAAGTGGGGGTGGGGGAGTGGGGGTGCAAACAGTGGGGCCACAAAAAGAAAGAAATTTGGCAAGAGTGTCAGGAGGGAAGTAGCAGAAATGGGTTTAAAACTTTTAAATCATAATCATTACTTGCACTAAAATTCAGAATATAGATGTGAAAATACAAAACACTATTTTCTTTCCTTAGTAAATATAAGAAATTCTGATTTATTTCCTATGAACATATCAAAAGATTTCAGTGAAACTGCATACATTCTGGGAGGCAGAATCAATTCTAAAATAATGAGCAGTTTATTCAGTAGTTAATTCTAGAAAAATGGACAGATTAGTTGGTAATTTAGTGTGTTGTTGGAATAAAGGCCATTTGATATCAAAGGTAAACAGGCTACCCCCAGAAAACTAAGGTATTTTATTTGAAATAACAGAAGTAGACTCACAATTAAAAAAAGCTTTTAACACACACAGTGATAAAAGGTAGTCAATGAACTGGCGTGAGTGCCTCATACAGCCTCTGTGCAGCCAATTCCACCATTTCTCGGAGGGACTCATCGTCTTCACTTCCTTCTTCACATTCTACAGTCTGAAAGTGAAAGCACAAACATGCCTTTTGGAGTCTATAATTACAGGGAGGATAAACAAACAGTCTAAGAACAAGCCATCTTCTGTAAGGGTGGAGGGCATTGGAGGACTGATGACCAAGGGCCAGAACTACTAGTCTGCACACCTAGGAACAGGTACAGGATACCAAGCCCGTCCTGACATACACAAGGTCCTAATTAGAGGTGAGCTGAGGACAGGGAAATATTGAGCCCTGCCTTAGAAGAAGCTGGAAGGTGAGTCCTAAGAAAGTGGGGGTGGGGGGAAAGGAGGTGCAAACAGTGGGGCCACAAAAAGAAATTTGGCAAGAGTGTCAGGAGGGAAATAGCAGAAATGGGTTTAAAACTTTTAAATCATAATCATTACTTGCACTAAAATTCAGAATATGGAAAGGTGTAGAGAACGACACGGAATTGCCCATATTTGGTCCAGGCAATGCTAGTCCAAGGAAGCTAGGTGGTACAACAAAAAGTACTTGGCAAGCAATGGAGGTGGTCATCTACTCAATATTTAGTATTTAATTTGATTTACACTAATAATCTCATAGTTACTTCTTAAAGCTCAACCATGAAACACTACACTGTTAAAATGCTTAAAAAATCATACTATAAATATTCTCCATTTAAAAATTTAAGATGGAAAAAACAAATTCTCAATTCTATGACCAAATTATACCATTTCAGTGTATAATTGTGAAGACTTTTAGTTACACACACACACAAACACATATACCCTTTAAAACAATTTTTTAAGTTGTATAGCTACATCTATCTATTTATATGTGATGCTGAGGATCAAACCCAGTGCCTTACACATGCTAGACAAGTGCTCTACCTCAGCCTATAGATAGATATATATGTGGGTTGGGTATGTATATGTATACACACACACACTTTTTTTTTTTTGATATTACGGTTTAAATTTTTTTTTTTAGTTGTTGATAGACTTTTATTTATTTACATGCAGTACTGAGAATCGAACCTAGGCAAATGTGTTAATGCTGAGTCCCAGCCCCAGCCCCACACTTTTCTTACACATATATATATACACACTTTTAAATTAAAACAAAAATGGGATACTTTATCATACATGCTGCCTTCTAACTTTTTTCCTCAACAATGTAGTGGACAACTCTGTGTATTAATGAATCTGCACCAACTTTTTTTTTTTTTTTGGTACTAAGGATTTAACCCAGGGATACTTTACTGCTCAGCCACATCCCCAGCCCTTTTTATTTTGAGACAGGGTATCACTAAGTTGTTTAGGCCCTCGATGAGTTGCTGATTCTGGCCTTGAACTTGTGATTCTTCTGTCTCAGCCTCTTGAACCACTGGGATTATAGGCATGCACCTCAGCTAGTTGTACCAACTTTCTTGTTATTTTAAAAATTTTTTGTAGATACTGGGGATTGAACTCAGGGGCACTTGACCACTAAGCCACATTCCCAGCCTTATTTTGTATTTTATTAGAGACAGGGTCTCACTGAATTACTCAGGCCTCGATAAATTGCTGAGGCTGGCTTTGAACTGGCTATTCTCCTGTTGCAGTCTCCAGAGCCCCTGGGATTACAGGTATGCACCACTGTGCCTGGCCCAACTTTCTTGATGGCTATACTTCAAATATAAGAAAATGCCATATACACAATTTATTTATATTTAGTTATATCATTTATTATCTCCTACTTTTGGATTTAAGTTTCTTACCATTTTTTTTTTTCTTTTTACAGTGCCAGGGATCAAACCAGGGCTTTGCACATAATAGGCAAGTACTCTGCCACTGAGCTAGATTCTCAGCCTCTTACCACTTCTTTGCTTTTTTGTGGTGATGGGATCGAACCCAGGGCCTTGTATATGCTATAAAAGTGCTCAGTTATTGTTTTATATTCTCAGCTCATCCCTTGCCATTTTAAAAAATGCTTAAATGGATACTGTTGTCCACTATCTTTGTGCATCTGTTTAGTTCTTTTCTTTAGTAAAATCTAATAAGCAGAGTTGTAGACAAAGACCTTACTCTATTAAAGCTTTTGAAGCCAAATTGCTTTGCAGAAATATTAGGTTTGCAATTTCTGTATTAGTGGATCTAGATATTTGTTTTAAACTTACTGGCTACTGATACTCCTTCCCTAGTGAAGTACATTTTCATGTCTTAGTTTATTTTTTTTCTACTGAGGTAAAATAAATCTAGTTTCCTCAAAGCACTCTATATATAGTCACATAAAATAAATTTAAACCCCACTCCCGAAAGCCAACATTTAGAAAAGCCACATGTATCTTGCTGGAGGAAACAGGAGCAGCTTCTCTGAAAAAATCAACTGGATGCCAAAGTAGAGAAAGGCTAAGGTGAATGAAAGCAAGCTGAAACATTTCCCTAAAGAATACTTTGTAACTTAAATATGTAAGTAAGAATATGGGGAATACACTGTGAGGAAATGCCAGATTGAAAAAAGCAAACAAACAAAAAATGTGTTAGGTGTGGGAAGAGAAATTATTTCTGTCCTCACTTTATGTTCCAAATGGTTTGAAATGTAGGAACAGTTACGTACCCGTGTATCCAAGTTAATATTAGCTGTTTTCCCATCCACAGTGACGCTAAGGACAGAACCATCTTTTACACTTACACATTCTTCTCCAAATATGTCCCTTAAAATAAATAAAGATGACATGTTAATAGAAGAGTCCCGCTTTGTATATTTGGGGAAAAAAATAAAATTGAAGATAAGTCCTAGTTCCAAAGTGAAGTACTGATATCTATTCCTGAGGTATACATATTGTTTACCTTGATATAATTTATTGGTTTTTAAAATCAGGTAAAATAGCATCATTTATTAAGTATTTTCCATCAAGCAGGCATTATACTAAACACTTTATATACATTATCTTTTTTTTTTTTAGTTTAGATGGACACAATACCTTTATTTTTATTATATTTTTAATACCTTTATTTTGTTTATTTATTTTTATATATGATGCTGAGTATCAAACCCAGTGCCTCACACATGCTAGGCAAGTGCTCTACACTGAGCCCCAACCCTCGCCCAATATATACATTACCTTAAAGTATAATGATTTTGGTAAAGATTCTTTGACACACGAGGAATAAAAAGAGAGGTTAGTGATTTGCTAAAATCCTCAAAGCTTTTAAGCTGTTGAGTTGGAATTCAAGTCCAGGTATGTGGGCATCACTGGCTCCTAAGTTCACTAGCTGTCCACTCCTTTTAGTCAGATGCCTACTTTGTATTCATGAAGCTCAGTTTTGACTGAGCACCTTCTAGTGTTAGGTGTGGAGCCAAGTACTGGGGATACAGAAACCACAACAATACCATTTCTGTTATTGAGGAACTATAGTTTAATCATTAATTTCAACACTGTTACAATCAGTTACAGGGATATTTGAAAACAGTAGTCCAATTAATAGTCTGGATGCAGTTAATGAATATAAAAGCTCCATAAAACAACCCTCTGACAGAGTCAGATACTGACAACACTGTATTGAACTGGCAGTGGGGAGGGACCAACTGCTTGTTCTTTTAGACAGTAAATGTTAATAATGTGTTTGAGGACTGGGGATATAGCTCAGTTGGTAGAGTACTTGCCTCGAATGCACAAGGCCCTGGGTTCAATCTCCAGCACGACACACACACATAACCCTAGCAACTTAGGAGGCTGAGGCATGAGGATCATAAGATCAGGGTTAACCGCAGCAACTTAATGAGATCCTGTCTCAAAATTAAAAAAAAAAATTCTGGGGTGTAGCTCAGGGGTAGAGTGCTCCTGGGTTTGATCCCTAGTACTGTAAAAAATGAATATATTTGAATAAATCTGTCTGAGTAAATCATTACTAAGGAAAAATACCATATTTCTTTTTTTTTTCCCCCCTCCTGTGCTGGGGATCAAACCCAGGGCCTTTTGTATGCTAGGCAAGCATGCTACCACTAAGCTATATACCCAGACCAAATAATATATTTCAAATATAGAAATATATTCAAAAGACAGGAAAACAAGTTGCAATTGTTTTTCACATAATTGACTGTTGGCTGGTCTGAAGATACTGGGCCAGCTGACTCCGGCAGGGAGCCCCACACTCTCTATTTCTGCAGAGCCTGCGAGCAGGACTGCTGCAGTCCTGAATCTACTCAGATCTGGAAAGCAGGAAACCAACGTCAACAGGGCTCTCAACCTGGGTCCCAGGAAAGGCTTTGGGGAGAGGTTATCTAACCCCTTTGAAAGAAAGGTAAAATTGTGCATATCCCTCTTCTCCACATGCTGGGGAAAAGTCCCACAGACTCATGACACTGGCAGGTCAGTGCAGAGCAAAACCCCTGCAGAAAGAGCAAGAGACTCAGGGCTACTTAGCCACAAGGCTGGAAACTGACAGAGTTGGCATCCTTGTCAGTGGCAAAGACAGCTCTGCTCCTATGGCTTATCTAGTTTATGTGACAAGGGACGCTTCTTAAAATCAGAATGCCACCACCAAGAACACTGTTTCTGAGGATGGGTGACAGCTTCTATAGGCTAAGTCATCATTTAAATCCTGTTATCCACTGGGTGAATAAGCTGGGTGCAGCAGCATGTGCTGCAGTTTCAGCTACTGAGGAGGCTGAGGTAGGAGGTTCACTTGAATTCAGGAATTTGAGGCCAACCTTGGCAACACAGTGAGACTATTTCTAAAAACACAAATGAACAAACAGAAAACCCAATAGAAGCTTATCCATTTTTTAAAAGCCACTATTATCAAGTGTGAAATGTGGGAAAAAGAATGAAAGAAACAGAAATGCTAATGCAAAAATCTTCCAAACATACAGAACACTTTATTTTGTTAAGATGTATAATTAAGTAACCTTCAATTTAAAACTAGAAGTCATTTTTTAACAAGTATTTGAGAGATTACCACATATAAGGAACATTGTACTAGGTGCTGGAATTATAAATCATAGCTATCTACTCTTTACAAGATTATTTTACTTGAAAAAACATTCCAAAATCAGATTTAAAGAATACTTATAGAAAGGCAAAGGACTTAATTATCTGGTGTTCAGAAAAATACCAATATGAAAAGTATTGCACAGCTACAGACTTCATATTTGAGAAAGTCTAGAATGAAACCCCTTTTATCAAAGAATTCATATTTAAGAAGCAAACATGTAGGGTACAGTGGTGCACACTGGTAATTCCAGAGGCTTGGAAGTTGAGGCAAGAGGATTATAATTCAAGGTCAGCCTCAGCAACTTAGTGAGGCCCTAAGCAACTTTAGCAAGATGCAGTCTCAAAATAAAAAATAAAAAAGTGTGGAGATGTGGCACAGGTGTAGAGCAACATTAGGTTCAATCCCCAGAACTGCAGGAAAACAAACAAAAGCAGTAAATATAAAATGTGGCTCAGTGGTAGAGCGCTCGCCTAGCATATGCAAGGCACTGGGTTCAATCCTCAGCACCACATAAAAAATAAAAAATAAAGTTATTGTGTCCAACTACAATAAAAAATGTTTAAAAATAAAATAAAATAAAATGAAATCATCCTTCAGGTGGTCAGTGGTACCGCTGAGACAAGGGTCTGTGGTTGATGGTGCCAGCCTGTCAGCACATCCTGAGGCCCTATTATATGAATGTAGGCAGCTGGCCAGGCAGGTCCCATACCAGGAATCTAGCGCAGTGAAGCTGCCCTGGCTTGCATCACATAGCCAGTACGCAAACGTGCCAGAGCAGAGTTCAGGGCTCCACCCACCCATCCTTACTTCCTGGTTGGGCGATGATGAATAAGATACTTACTGGAGCATGATTTCCAACCTCTTGCTGTAAATGTGCATTTCTAATTTCTTAGAAGCCTTTTGTACTGCACCTGGGGGGAAAAGGACAGAGTTCAATTTCCAAGTTTCTATTTAACAATTCCAAATCCATGACCAGAATGATCAGCTATGAAGCACTGAAGAGCAAGCACATTGCTGCTCCGCCCACCAGCTCAGCCCAGCTTGGCACTGGCATCACTGTATTTTGTGTTCTTATTTAAGACCCACAAGATGAGACTTAAGATTGCTTTTAGTCATTATTATCACCATTTTGTGGTACTGGGGACTGAATGCAGAGGTGTTCTACCACTGAGCTGCATCCCCAGCCATTTTCTATAAGTTCTACTTTAAGACAGGGTCTTGCCAAGCTGCAGAGGCTAGCCTTGAACTTGCCCATGTCTTCCTTTCTCAGCTTCCCCCACCCCCCCACTCCACCCCCGCTGTACTGGGGATTGAACCCAGGTGCACTTAACCTGGGTTCATTGAGTCATTTCCCAGCCCTTTTTGTATTTTATTAGAGACAGGGTCTCCCTAAATTATTTAGGGCCTTGCTAAATTGCTAAGACTGGCTTTGAACTTGTGATCTGCCTGTCTCAGCCTCCTGAGTTACTGGGATTACAGGTATGTGTCACTGAGCCCAGCAGGGCCTTGAGCATTCAATTATGCTCTGCAAACCCTGCACAAAAACTTACAAAGATCTATGGTGGCGTTATTTATAGCAGCTGAAGGCAGGAACACCTCAAATGTTTACCAGCTGATGAACTGATGGGCAAAATATGTTATATCCATACTATTAAATTAAAAAAAAAAAAAAGAGGGGCTGGGGTGTGACTCAGTGGTAAAGCCTGCTTGCCTAAAGTGTGAGGCATTGGGTTCATTCCCCAGCACCACATTAAAAAATGAATGAATAAATAAAGTTATTTAAAAAGAAAAATGAAGTACTGATTTATTTACAACATGGATGAACCCTTTTTTTTTGGTACCGGGGATTGAACCACTCGACCACTGATCCACATCCCCGGCCCAATTTTGTATTTTATTTAGAGACAGGATCTCAACGAGTTGCTTAGCGCCTTGAAGTTGTTGAGATTTGGCTTTGACTCTCGATCCTCCTGCTTCTACCTTGAACAACAACAACAAAAAGGAAGGCAAAAAAGTAGTGAGAGGTTTTTTTTTTTCTTTCTTTTTTCTGTTTGTTTTGGTAGTGGGGACTAAACACCCAGGGGTACTTTACCATAACTATCCCAGACCTTTTCCTTTTTAATTTTGAGACAGGATCTTACTAAGTTGCTTAGGGCCTTACTTAAATTGTTGAGGCTGGTTTTGAATTGAGCTGCTGGGATTACAGGTGTGTGTCACTGCATCTATCCCAAATGAATAATTTAGATTTGATGTAGCTAGTTATAAAGAACATGAATAATGAAGCAGTAGTCAGCTAAATTTAATTCTCCTGAAATCAAAGAACTGCATACACACATACACAAACACATAAATATTTTTTTTTAATACTGAGTGGACACAATATCTTTATTTTACATTTATGTGGTACTGAGGATTGAACCCAGTGCCTCATGCATGCTAGGCGAGCACTCTACCACTGAGCCACAATCCCAGCCCTTCACATATGTTTAACATTAAGAAACAGGAATATTCTACCAGAGAACAGGCTCTGAGGATGGGAATATAGGATGGGCAACTTCTCAAACATTCCAGTGTGACTAGCAACAAGGGCCACTCTATGGTAAAGATGCAAATCTGAAGACATGTTTTACACTGAATTATGTATCAAACAGAATGAAGGTGTAAAAAATTATATAAAAACATTTCCATTGGTGTATTCTTTGGTTGAAAATTGTCCAAGAGGGAAATGCTATTCTAACTACAAGGTTTATTACACACAAAGAGTCTTCCTAACACACAAGCTCACTTAATTCAGCCATATTTTGGAATCTCCTTCAGCTGTTTAAGAGGACTATAACTAAAGGAATTTTATCTTCATCTTAATTGCAACCATAGTAGGAATGAAGAGAACAAACAAAAAGGAAAATAATGATAATATGCACTGTTGTGTATGCACCTCAAAGATCACATAGGAATAAAACAATTAGATTTAAAGTTCTAATTTAAGACTCTACTTCCTTTTAGTTCACAGAATCAGAACAGATGAAAGAACAGATAGATGAAAGTAAAAATTCTGTACCTTTCCTTATTTTCGGATTTGACTGAACTTCTAGGATCACTGTTGTTACTGTGTCAGCATACATGTCATTAGAAGGGTTTGCCAGCCACTGGAAGGCAAAGGCAGAGTTAGGAAGGCAGAGCTCTGGCACTCACCCAGCCAGCCAGGGACTGTATAAGCAGGGCTAGTGGTTTTAGCATTTTCACTGAAATTAACTAATAATGTTGAACATCCCTAATTTTCTTTTTTAATCATAAAAGTATACTAAGCACTTTCTTTGTGGCAAGGTGTTTTATATATATTATTTAATCCTAAATAGTACAATTAGGGGCTGGGGGTTGTAGCTTAGTGGTAGAGCACTTGCCTCTCGTATGAGGCACTGGGTTCAATCCTCAGCACCACATAAAAATAAGTAAATAAATAAAAATAAAGGTATTGTGTCCATCTACAACTAAAAATATTTTTTGAAAAATAGTACAATTGACTTCATTTTATAAATAAGAAAACTGACTGTAAAGTAATTTGCATAAGGTTATTGCTGGTGCTGGATTCAAACTCAAATTCCTAATAGCTTTGATAGATGCACAGGCAGCATGGTAACAGGGTAAGATGTGCATGTCTGATACTTGGGATGGAAGCCAGAGCTTTGTGCATGCTGGGTATATGCTCAATCACTGAGTTATATATACCCTTATCCCCTATGGGGTAACATTTTAAAATATTACTTCTGCTTCTTACCGAAAGACTAAGATTCCCTGACGCTCTTTCATGTGTCAATTATTCTAACAAAGCTTCCCATATACCAAGGTTAGTGAAACCAGGTGCATAATTTTAGGAATGAGCACACTTCCTAATTTTTGCTGCCTCTTCAAAGAGCATTTTTACAAGTACCAGCGGGCACTTGAAAACCTTTCTAAGATTTTCTGATTTGTTAACTCTAGAAACAAAAATACATTCTCTAATAGTATTTAGTAGAAAGAGTTGAATCAATATCTCTAATAATTTTCCTTTTTCTGATCATATTTTATATATTATTTTATGTAACTTCATACTAGAAAAACCCATTCCTTTGACACTTTCATTCTTCTTCTTCTTTTTTTTTTTTTTTCTTTTGATACTGGGGAATAAGCCCAGGAGTGCTCTATCACTGAGGTACATCCCAAATCCTATTTATTTTTTATTTTGAAATTGGGTCTCACTAAGTTGCCTAGGCTGGTCTTGAACATGTGATCCTCCTGCCTCAGCCTCCGGAGTTGCTAGGATTGCTGACATGCACCACAGGCTTGACATTTTCTTTTGTTGTTTTTAGCCTTTGATCAAATTTAGGCTTAAATCACAAAACTCTAGTAGGATCAGAGCTGACATATCTTTTTAAATTTATTTTAATCTTCAAAATACCATTTTTTAAGAAGTACTACCAGACAAGTTTGTATGCTTTTATTTTTTTATTTTATTTTTTTGAAGGTAAGACATCTCAGTTTTTATCTTTTAATTTATTGATTTCGGATGGAAACTGATTTTTGTGGGTATGGACTGTATTTGTTATCTGCTGTTAACCATCTCCAATTCTTCCTATTGAAAGATGCTTTTATTTTTTTGAGAAAAGGTCTTGCTAAGCTGCACAGGCTGCCTTTGAACTTGTGATTGTGTTCTGCCTCTGCCTTCCAAGTTGCTGGGATCATAGATGTGTACCACCACATCCAGCATGTTTGTGTTTTAACAGAATTCAGTTTCTTTTTTTTTTAATATTTTTTTAAAATCTTTATTTATTGATTTATTTTTTATGTGGTGCTGAGGGTCGAACCCAGTACCTCACCCATGCAAGGCAAGTGCTCTACCGCTGAGCCATAACCTTTT